CGGGTTGTCCCAGCACGTGAGACAAGTATTTACTAGGCCAATTGTCCTGTCTTGTTGTTCGTTTGCGTGAGTCCACCTTTAGGTCTGACTTTTGTACCGTCTACTGCCATTGTTAAAGACCAACACAAATTTCTCCGTGTGAGATGAACAAAGATTGTCATTGTCATTGTTTTACTTCTGGGTTGTAGGTGATTAGAGGGCGTCTCTGGTAGGTCCTACTTCTTTTCTTTCCCTTGTGAGACATCGTTTTGAAATCAGGCGCTCGTCAAGATAATGAAATTGAAGAAAACGGCAAGTACGTTCCCATTTGGCAATTTTTAAAAATTGAATTTTGAACTTTTGACTCTACACCTTTTCTGTTCATTTAAAAACAATTTGCTGTGTGGAGTTTACTTAAAAACCTTTATCAAAGGCACAACAAATGTTAATTTTCAGTTTCCAGGGACTCTCAAGCTTTGGAAATAATAATAATAATAGATAATAGATAGCATTTGTATAGCACAAATCCCCGCTCAACAGCAAGCTCTGAGCGCTTCACAATCTATACCATTACCTCAGCCGACCAGAGTGCTTTCTGAAACAACCTCAACTTACTGGGAAGCATACAATGCAAGCAACCATATAGGCGCTAAAACACTAATATACTGACAAGACCTTTCACTGTCTATGGCCGGGTATCCATTCCCACCTGGGTGAAGTGAGGAAAATTTGTGTAAAGTGCCTTTCCCTAGGACACAACGTCGGGCCCGATGCTCGAACCCCCGACCCCACAACCTCACGATTACGTGTCCGGTAGTCTAACCCCTAAACTTTGGCCACCATGTTCTCGCTAATTTTACCTCTAACACCGGGCGGGATCCGCCCCCTTCAATCTTCAATATCTCGATTTCTATTCAAGACAGACGTGTATCTTTTTCTTCAAAAGACAGTCAAATGAACAAGCTTTAAGATGATACCAATAACTCCAGATGCCCCAAAACTGACGAGTGCCTGCTTCCACCGCGACGTGACACCTACGTTGTATAGGTCTGTCTTACTTTTCCCCAGCACTAAATTACAGTTATATCATAGACGTGGTTCTCTTTACTCTTTACCTTTTACTTTCTTCTCTGAAACAATCAATCAAACAAATCACTGATTCCATTGTTTCTCTTTCGAAAGAACTATAAGTGTATAAAAGGGCAGTCAACCTTTGTTATTGTTATCGCTGCGCTGTAGACGTACACCGTACGTCCGTACGTCCTGTAAATTCGCTATTTTGTTTCGCCTATACAGCATTGTAAATGAAACTTTTGAATGTTGAGAATTGTTTCCCTTTATGTTCATTCATAAAACAATGACGTCAGCGCTATTTTTAGCAAAATGTTGTGTAGAGGTGAAGCAAGCCCAACTTACTTTGTCATATTTCTTGGCAGAGCTCAAGAACGTCTGAAGTGTATAACGCTCACGAGGGTTTGGAAGTTTCTGGATGAGAGCCACCAGTTCGCCGACTTGGGCCTTTTTGATCTCCGGGTCCTGTGTGTCGTTATCAAAGAGGACCATACGGTGTTGGAAGGCATGCAGCCAGTCCTGAATCTCCCCAGTCCTTTCACTGCACCACCTTTTAAACGGGACGTCCGGAGCGCCTACTCTTTCCATGCGCCTTTCGAACTCGTCTCTACCCGTCATCAGACAAACGCAGTGCCTGGACAGCACGAACTCGCCAAAGGTGCGCTTGAGCAAAGACATTTTGGACTTGTGGCCGTGTGCCTGAGCTAGAGTCTGGAAGGCTATGACAACGACAATAGCGTGGAATCCTGCGTCGTTCTCCCCCATGATGTCGTTGGCTTGATCCAGGGCGACTCGCTCGCTCTCGTCCTGGTTCTGAAGGTTCTCCAAAACGCTGGGGCCGTACACAAGTCTGAGGGTACAGTCCTCCATCTCCACGGAGCACGAGCGAGTGGTCTTCTTTTCCATGGAACCAGAAATGTTGGAGGCGGTGGCGATGCTGTTGACCGTTTCCCGCTTCCCATGACCATCGCTTCCGATGAGGAGAATGTCGTAGGAGGTCTTGTGTCTGTTGTACTGAGACAGAAACAAAGAAAATTGTGAGGCAGCATGGTGGAATCAAGCTCTCGTCAAAATAATCAAAGGGAAGAAACTTGCATTTTTCCACGGGTTTGTGAATTGTTATCAAATTTTTGTTTTTTGGCTCAACACCTTTCAAGCCCATTAAAAAACTCATTTCTGTGGATTTTTCTGAAAAGCGTTGATTAAAGGCATAAAAAATGTAAATTTTCAGTTACCATGGGCTCTTAAGCTAAGGAAATAACGAATCTTTGGAGGCCATTTTCTCACTAATTTTACCTCTGAAAACAGGTGACCACCCCCC